AGAGGAGTAGAGTGTGACAATCCCTATTGAGAGTGTCTTCTCTCCCCACCACCACCTCCTCTTGTGTGCACACATGTGCCATAAAAAAAATTAATGAGGTAATATTCCTTCCTTCTGTGGTTTTTTTTTTTTTTTTTTTTTTTTTTTTTTTTTTTTTTTTAGTACTGGAGAGAGACAGATAGAGGGAAAGTGAGAAATTAACAATCAACCTGGGGTGGAGGGGATGATCATGCTGCAATCCCTTCTCCTCCATTTTCCTCTTGAGATTCTATGCATACATGCATGCACATGAGCCCAATGTGATTTTCAAGCCACTAGGTCCAGGACTTAAATCTTGGTTGGCCTCGTGGGAGTTCAGTGCCTTAATCACCATGCCACCTGCTGGCTCCATTTTTCTAATCTTTTAAAGTACCATGAAGATAAAAACAAAAACAAAACAAAAAAACACTTTTTTTGGAGGATGAATTTGAGATAATATAGCAAAATTCATGAATATAATTGTTTCTTTCCATTTCATGAATGTTTTAATTCAATCCATATATATCTAACAAGGTGAAAATTACTTTTATTTTATCAATGAGGAACTAATATTGAGAAGTCAAACTAATTGTTCAGTGTAATATGGCCAGGAAAGATTAGCTTGAGCTGGGACCAGCAGTTAGTGTAATGGCTATGTCGCTGGACTCCCACGTAGTCAACCGCACTTCACATCCTGGACCCGGTGGCTTAAAGCTCACGCCAGGTGCGTGTGTGTGCGTGCCCAAGATCCCGAGAGGAGAATGGAGGAGAAGGGATTGTGGTGTGGCCATTCCCCCTGGGGGGTGATTTCTCACTTTCTGTCTCTCTGTCTCTCTCTCTCTCTGTCTGGTGAGCGCACATGCCCTACAACAAAAACCTCTTAAAAAAGAAAAAAAAAAAAGATTAGCTTGAGTACTCTAGTGTCAAGTTTTTAATTCCCACAGAGGGACTGTCTCTCTCTTCCTTTCTTTCTTGTAAACCAATGCCCATTAGCCCCAACCTCTGACAGCACTTGCATGCAGGATATCTGTAGAGCCTACCTTCCCTTGTCCATCTCCCCATCCAGTGTTCAGCAGTGGATTTTCAATAATACATTCATAAGACGAATTTGATCCTGTAACATCCAGTGTGTTGTTAGTATAAAAAAGACCCCAAGATTCACTGTCTTCCATATCACTTTTAGAGACAGGAGTATCGTCCGTTTTCCATATGATAATTGGAGGAGGATGACTTAACACACTGCATATTAAGAAGCTGTTTGTGTTCCTCTTTTCATACTTCATCATAGGCATGAGGAAAGCTAAGTGGGAGAGAGAAGGGCACAGAAAGAACTGTCATCATTAGCTTCTCTTTAGACCATCTGTGCAGAATACTTTTTTTAATACCCATGGAATGAAAAGCAAAGTTTTATGAGCGAAACTCAGCAGTTACTGAAAGAAAAAAAAATTCTATAAAATATAGTGTGGTTGTCTAGAAAGAATAAAAAAGAGTGTGCATGGGTACAAAGCAACTGGCTATTCTCTGAGAAACATAACCAGAAAAGAAATCTAATAGGCTCGCTGAGCAATCACAATACGGGTGTCAAAGTCTATCAGTTAGAGAGTATGCAGCACCTGAACTCTTCAGATACCAACTTAGAGGCTTTTGGACAATTCGTTTATACACAGTTCTCAGATTTCTGAGTAAAGCTCAGAAGCAGCTAAATGAGACAGAGGAAGAAGGAACAAGTGCTGGCTAAAAACAACCAATTAGATAGGGGCCAGCAGGTGGCATGGTGGATAAGGTGCTGAACTCCTACATGGCCAACACTCTTGGAGTCTCAGACCTGGTGGCTTGAAAATCATCCTGGGCACATGGGCGTGCATGCCCAAAATCCCAAGAAGAGAATGGAAGAGAAGGGACTGTGGTATGCCTATCCCCCTTGGGGTGGGGGGTGTGATTTCTCACTTTCTCTTTCGCTATCACTCTGTCTCTCCTGTGAGTGTACACACACACCCTATAGCAAAAACCTTAAACAAACAAACAAAGAAAACAAGCAATTCAAAAATATTCCCTGTATGTGGGCCTGGCACTGTACAGTATTATCTATTAATGGTCAGCAGTCTGATCATTAACAGATCACATCATCAAGAACCCTCTGCCATTTGATTATTAAAAGCAAGTCATAAAGTTCTATGTTGGAATTGCTTCAATGTTAATTGAATGCCTATTTGATTCAATGTAACTGTGAAAATTGGCAACTGTAACTGTACATAGTTATAATTACAGAGTTATAGTTATATAGTTGTGTTGATATGTATAGTATATATAGTTATATCTCTATATAACTATATGTGTATGTATGTGTATGCATGTGTGTGTGTATATAGTTACTCCAGACAAGAGGAAAGCATATGTACAAAAATCAAACCCATGTAAATACAGAAAATGCAATTCAAATCACAATTTAATATTTTTCCAGTCATTATATTGGAAGAAAAATGTAAGATTAGCAATGCTTGGTGCTGATAAGACTAAGAAGGAAATGGATCCTCTTATACTGCTAGTGTCAGTAATGTATTAAAATCTCACTTCTGGTACTTTGCTTTCAGATCACTTCCCAGTATTAAATAGAACTATAAGGATGCTCATTACAACATTGTTCATAATGTAAAACACTGGAAATGCCTGAATATCTACCAATGGATATATCAGTTACAACATGTCTCCACTGTGAGATACCATGAATTAAAAATAATGAGGTAGGGACTAGCAGTTAGCATAATGGCTATGTCACTGGACTCTCATGTAGCTGACCGTGGTTCGAGTCCTGGACCTGGTGGCTTAAACTCACTCTGGGCTCGTGTGCGTGCGTGCCCAAGATCCTGAGAGGAGAATGGAGGAGAAGGGATTGCAGCGTGGCCATCACCCCTGGACGGGGAGGGGGGAGTGATTTCTCGCTTTCTGTCTCTCTGTCTCTCTCTGTCTTCCTGGCTAGTGCATGTGCTCTATAGCAAAGACCTCTCCAAAAAAAAAAATCAATAAATTTTTAAAAATGAGGTAGACTTGCATATTTTGATGTAGGAGAATTCCGTAGCACACTATTAGGTCATCAGGAAAGTCACGACGTTTTTTTTTTAATGTAAAAATGCATCATGACTTTCCCAATGACCCAATAGGTTAGAGAAAAGATATTCCAGTGTAACGTGGAATGATATCAGTTGTGTTTACAACACCTTACCTCCCACATTTAGCACTACTTTGTTTATGATCTTTTCAGTTGCTGTTCCCACATAGCAGATGTAAACTCCTTCATCCAGAAGGCTTAATCTTCTCAAAGATAGAGAGGCATTCCCATTGTGAATCTCACTGTGGAAGAGGGACGTCCTGTTGATGTATCTGGGATCTTGCTTTTCCAGATGGTCACTGCTTTTGAAGTAACTGTGAACAATGGAGGTAGTGTCTTGACTCTTCCAGTGAATGGCAACTTCACTCCCACTCTTAAATGAGCAAGGGAGAATTACATCTTCACCAAGTGTTCCTATGATGATTTGCTCATTCACACTAGTAACATCACTGAAGGAAGCTAAAAAGACTGGATCTATAATCAAGGACAGAGAAGTTGTGAAGAAAATTAGTGATGGGTGCTTGTCAACATTTTAATTGGGACTACCCAGAAGAACTTTTCTAGCTCAGCAAACTGCTCACTGCTCATTAACAGATTACATCACCAAAAACCTTTGGTAATCTCATTATTAGAAAAAAGCCATAAAGCTGCACGTGGGGGAACCAGAGTTAGCGTATTGGCTATGTCGCTGGATTCCCACATAGTCGACCACGGTTTGCGTCCCGGACCTGGTGGCTTAAAACTCACGCCGGGCATGTGTGCGTGCGTGCCCAAGATCCGGAGAGGAGAATGGAGGAGAAGGGATTGCGGCGTGACCATCCCCCCTGGGGGGTGATTTCTCGCTTTCTGTCTCTATGTCTCTCTCTGTCTGGCGAGCGCACACGCCCTATAGCAAAACAACAACAACAACAACAAAAGAATATCTCTTTAATTCAATGTAACTGTGAGAATTGATAATGGTTCTAAGTATAGACACATTGGTTTGCTACCCTGGTTTGCTACCCAGTGGTCTATTCTCCCCTCTGGTCTTGACCTGCTACATACTGGAAATTTTATATATGGAAGACACCTGTTGATTGTCATTCCTGGAACATACTTACTTTTAACACCTACTGTAACAATAATTAACGTGTATGTCTAGCTAGTTAGAGCTACCAGGCCCTAAGAGAGTGGAACAGACTTAGCCTGTTTGGGTCAGGAATAATTGGAGCATGTAAGAAAACAATGCTGGGTTCAGAAACTTATTGAGAATATTTAGATACTAGACTCTGGAAGGGAAGGGACATGAGCATGAAGAGTCCAAAGGGGGATATGAAATGAGTCCTTGATTTTGACTTTAGGACCTTCCTCAGGATATCCAATGACTTAATCAGAACTTAGTTAGGGATATTATTCCAAATATAAATATGGAAGTCTAATCCTGTTAACTTTTTTTGGGGGGGTACTGCTAACTTTACTTAGTTAGGGATATTATTCCAAATATAAATGTGGAAGTCTAATCCTGTTAACTTTTTTGGAGGGGTACTGCTAACTTCAGAAGAAATTAATTTCTTTTTAAAATATTTTTTAATTATTTAGTTTATTATTGTTATTATTTTAAAATTTGACCAGAGAGAGAGAGAGAGAAAATGAGAAAGCAAGCCACCAGGTCCGGGACTTGAACCACAATCGGCATGGGGCCATCTAGTGCCTCACCGCCATGCCACCTGCTGGTTCCTAGAAATTAATTTCAAAAATCAAATAGATTCGATGCAATAAATGTTTTCACAAAGAAAATACACCAATGATATCATATCATTGAAGACAATATCTAGTTCCTTTGACTGATTTATAAACTATTTTAAATAAATGTGTGTCTTCTCTGTGGATTCTAAAATAT